CGTCCCCATCCTTAACCTCAACCTGATGCATCTCGACATGAAGAATGCCTTCCTACAGAGCAAGCTCGACAGGGTGTTGTACATGTCCCAGCCGGACTACTTCAACAACGGGACCAGCTAGGTGTGCAAGTTGCTGAAGAGCCTCTACGGGCTGAAGCAGTCGCCGTTTCTGTGGTACACAGCTCTCGATGGTGTGCTGCTGGGCGCCGGCTGGAAGAAGAGCCAGGTCATCGAGGCGCTCTACTTCAAGGCCGGCGACGACGAAGTGACCTGCTGCGTGCTGGTCTACGTCGACGAACTGCTCGCCGCCAGCAGCAATGCAGTGATACTGACAGAGCTGAATGGGCTGTTGGAGGCCACATTCGAGCTGCGGGAGATCTCACCAGTGCAGAAGTATCTCGGGTTGGAGATCGTGCGCGATAGGCCGGTAAGGAAGCTATGGCTCCATCAGCAGTGCTACACCGACAAGCTGCGTAGCGAGTCCTCGACGAGGAGTAGACTGGGCGCACCCCGAAGACACCAGTGTTGGTCGACGCCTACGCCGAGCTGACGTTCGACGACAAGGAGGCACAAGAGCGCCAGGAGGAGGAGTACCATCAGAAGGTCAGCTCGCTGCAGTTTGCGGCGATGACAACGAGGCCGGGCATCACCTTCATCTGCAGCAAGTTGGGGAGCGGCCTCACGGTGATGAGTGACCGGAATTGGCGTGAGGTCAACGGCTGCCTTGCCTACCTCGCCAACACGCGTGGCACCACCCTGGAGTTTGGCGGTGGTCCTGAGTCGCTGAAGCTGATCGGCTACGTGGACACCGACAACGCCGGCGACAAACAGAACCAGACGAGCACGGTCGGCTACGTGTTTGTCTACATAGGGGCCGTAGTCTTTTGGTCGAGCCAACGCATCAAGTGCGCGACGTTGTCATCGACAGAGTCAGAGTACGTGGCGGCAATAGAAGCCGGCAAGGAGGGACGTCGCCTTCGCTTCCTTCTTGAAGAGTTCCGGTAGCTGGACGTCAGGACGCCGACTGTCCTTCGGGTGGACAACAAGTCGGCCATCACGGTCCCCGAGGGGATGGGGTTGACAGGCAACCTCAAGCACATGGAGCAGCGACAAGCCTGGCTGCAGCACATGGTGAAGCACGGGAAATTCACGATGAAGTACATCCCGACCACTGAGCACCGGCCGACTTCCTGACAAAGGCGCTGCACTATCCGGCCATCAACCGGTGCTCCGTTACAATTGGCCAAGTGAGCCTAGCCGACGTGGGCAACGGCGACAACGACGTGCAGCGGTAGGTGCCATGCCATCTTGCATGGCTGGTGCGGTGACCGACGTGCTGTGTGTTGGGTGCACGCCAACAAGCTATTCTCCGTGTGGTGCTGCCGTGTGGGCTGGGGGCCCAAATGTGAACACGGCAGGGGAGTGTCAACAGGAGTTGTGGTAGGCCCCGTCCTCGCTTGGGCGGAGCCGACCTCGTTGTCGGGTGTACGGGGGAGTGCAGCCAACCTGCAGCAGTGGGCGGGCTGGTCGACGAGGATGGTCGACCTGGGCGGTGGCCATTGCACGGGCACCGACTTCTGGGCGCCGGTTTTGGGGTGGTCGACCAGGCGGCCAACCTAACCTGGTGGTCGACAAAGAGGGCACCGACGTCGACCTGGATGGGGGAGCTGAGCGTCGAGCAAGATGGCACTAGGCCAGTAGGTCGACCTGGGAGGACGCCGAGCGTCGACTAGCTGGAGCCGACATAGGGGACGCCGGTCACGGGTGGTCGGCAACGGACTGAGCAGGTCGACCGGGCGGGGTTACCCGGGCGACCGGGATACCCGGGCGATGTGTGCGAAGGTCGCCAGGGTGGTTTCTGCCAGACCGACCTCGGAAGTGGTATTTCGAGGTCGACGTGGCTGGTGGGCGCAGTCGCTAGCGTGGAGTTGACACGGGGTCTGCGCTGTGCACGTGACAAGGAGTGGTGCACCAACCAGCTACGCGCACCTGCGAAGCAGGTGTACCGTTGTTCTGCGGGTGCAACGCTGTGCAGCCGAATTGCTGCATCGTTGGCACACTGTGGACTTGCAACGTTGGCAAGCCGCGACTTTTCCCTGCTGGAGCGCGGCCGACCAAGTCGTGCTGGCACGCAGTCGACCGTATTGCGCTGGCAGTCGACCGACTTGCATGCTCATTCTGATGTAGTCTGTGTTGGCATTGTTGTATCAATCATTGTTGTGAAATATTTTCCCGGTAAAACTCTTGCTAATTCTCCCGGTGAACAAGCAAGTAGTGAGCACACAAGGAAACGATTAAGTGAACGAACGCAGATATCACTCTTGCCCGTGCCTAGCCCGTAATCTAGCTCCCGTTAATTAAGCTATGTCTGCAGCGTGTGCGCTTGCTGCTCGTGGGCCGCGGCAGTGGGCGTGCGTAGCTCTGGCAGGGAGCGCGCGCTGCTCAAGCGGGGCGCGCGCGGCTCTGGCAGGGGACGCGAAGCCCTTGCACGGGCGGCTAGGAGGGGAGGGCGTAGGGGGTAGTAGGGGGGGGGGGGGGTGGGGGGGGGTGTGCGTCCTACGCACGACGAACGGGAGGAGAGCTTAAGGGACAGGCGCCTCGGGAGAAGCTAAGGGAGTGAGCGGAAGCGTGGGAGGTAGGAATTGTTACCTACTCTAATACCATATTAGAATTGCATGAGTTTTGAAACCGAAAGCTAGAATAGTGAACCCCGTCCCAACTTGAAAGATTGTTGCGGAGCGAAAATTACACTAGGCTGATAAAATACTGTTTCAAACCTCTCTTTCATCGCCCTTTCTCTCTCTCGTCGCCCTTTCTCTCTCCGGTCGCCTTTCCTCCCTTCCGTCGCCCTTCATCTCTCCCGTCTCCCTCCATCTCTCCCGTCTCCCTTCATCTCTCTCGTCGCCCTTTCTCTCTCCCGCCGCCCTTCGTTTCTCCCCTCCCATGACCCACCTCGGCGCCTTCGCGCTCGCCCTGAAATGCCTGCCCGTCGCCCTTCTTCTCTCCCCTCCCATCACCCACCTCAACGCTCGAGCTCCACCTCACGTCACCTTCCCCAATGTCTCTCCCAACACTCTACTATTCGGCTATTTTCGCTCACTTAGCTCTCTCCGTGAGTTTTCTTTCCCTTTTTTTTTATATCTAACTTGAAACTGTCTGTTTTTTCTTGCATTCGGTTTTCCTCTGTTGTTTTTGCCGCTCCAGCAAGCCCATATCTAAGGCGTTTGTTGTGCGTGAATTGCACACGCAACACTTGTAGAAATTGGCACACGATGTGATTGGGATTTGGACGTCGCAAACTTGCAACGCATTTGCACATGCTTGCGACTGTTCTGTAGTTTTTTTTTTTTGTGAAGACTTGAACGTGTGTGAAAAACAAAACATAACAACACATCGACTTCCAGAAGCTTCACAAAGTTAGTTTGGGATTTCGAGTGCACCCACTAGAAGGGGGGGGGGGGGGGGGTCACTATTTTAGCTGCGGGTTTTCGCACACCCTCACCTACTGCCTATTTCAAATCCACATAACTTGAAAATTTACCATGCTGACCCAGGGCTTTAAAGAGTTGACACGAGGGGGTTTTCCTGGTATGGGGTTTGGCGAGTGATTCCGATTTAGTTTTCTTTGTTTTTTTCGCCAAACCCAGCCCCACCGTCGTATTTCGCCCTGGGGGTTGGACCAGTCTTTGAAAGTCCCACATTGCAGGTAGTTTTCAAAGCTTGCACACTCAATTCCTTCAAGTTTTAAAAGCTTGTCCCCCGCGCTCTGCAATTCAGGCCGCGGGCTTTAACCTAGGAAATGTTGTACCCTGAAATAACTGACAATATCTAACATTATAAACATTTGACAATGTTTCCTATCTGAAGAAGCTACGATAATAAAAGCAGATTACATTAATCCCCTGTATATAGGACCCCCCCAGTTGTAGACCCCCGGGTCTATAATACGGACCTGGGTACTCTATTCGAGTACATCTGAGTTATACCCCCCTAAATGGCTCCTAACATTATAAGACCCCCCCCACATCCTACAGAAGTGAGGATTTTACAAAAATGCAATTGAAAATGGTCATATTCCGAAACAGGAGGGGGAAGTGAAGTCAGCCCGATGAACAAGGACGTGCCAGAATACAGTAGGGGTGTCTGGAAGATTCCGCCCTTTCCAGGACATTGCAGCCCGCACGAAGCGTGCATGGGGTGTGAAGGCCGAGGCCATCAAACGGTGCCCTGCGATGTCGTGTGAACACCAAGTGGTGTTGGTGGCCAATGGGAGGAGGCTCCCAGAGAGGGTTCGTGATGACGTAGGTTCGGCCCTTGTGGAGACCAATTCGAGTATTTTTGGGAGGAGCTCAAAACGGAGCATTCCAAATAACTTCTTTGAGCTCCAAAACTACATTCTTATAAATGTCAATATGAACAGACCCGGGTCTTCTAAAAATATATACCCTCCAGCCTTTTTAGGGGCGATCCGGCCCTACGATATCAGGAATTTTTCCCTGAAATTCCTGATTTTCAGGGATTTTTTTGTACCTACACTGATTTTTCAGTGTTGAGAATTTTGTGACACTGAATTTTCAGCCTTTATTTCATAGTTGACACTGATTTTTCAGTCTTTTATCGAAGTGTACACTAAATGCACATTCCGAATCCTTCCTGCCAGCCAACATTTTCTGTTTTTTCACGTACGACAACGTAAGAGATTGACAGTTTAGTGGATCAACTGTCTCAGTAGTTAGTGATTTTCTACAGACGGGTAAGGGCCCGATTTGAATCCCTCCGCTGTCATGTTTTGTAAAGCCTACTCTTGTATACAAGGTTTTCATTTGCTTGAAAATTCAGGATTTGTTTTTTAGGAACCCTGAAAATTCAGGGTTTTTTTTTAGGAACACTGAAAATCAGGGTTTTGTTCACAGGGACCCTGATGCATCAACGTCCCTTAAAGTGAATATGAGGGCCTGGGGGTGATTATCATAAGACCCTAGGGTCTTATATACGGAGGATTACGGTATAAACTCCAGCAGGCTCAACTACCACATGAAGATCAATGTGAAGAAAAGAACCCCAGTATGGATACACTATTTTCATTATTGCGAGTACGAATGGCAAGTCCAACGGCGTGGCATGTGTCCTCATGTCCAACGTTGTTGGCAAGAATAGTTGCCTGGTTGACAGGGTGAGAACGACAGCTTGTTTGGGGCTAGAAAGGCTTCGGTTGTCAACACAAAAGGAGCTTTTCTTTGTGGAATCGCAAAATCATCTTCAATCCACAATGCTCGAAACCCCACCTGCAAACGACACGCGCAGTGTATCAATCCATGTGAGTAGCACTATGGTTCTTTCCTTCTCTCTCAACAATCTCCTCCACGCAGAACATCCACAGGAAAATCAAATATGCTAGGTAAAGAATCACACCTAAAAAAACTGTCATACAATCACCTTGGGGAAGTCGCTCAGTCAGTCACCTTGTGACCCCTCACTATAGTCACCTCTGAAACACTGCAGTCACCTTGCGAAGCGCTTTCTTCAGAAGTTGAGAATGTCACTGATGGTCACCCCTAATATATATATATACATGTATATATATTAAAAAAAAACATAATAGTCACCTTGGGAACGCCGCTGATGGTGGAGCTGAAGTGCCACAAGCCATCCTCAGAGTGGTGCTTGGGCGGCAAGACGGTGTGCAGGAAGAATGGCGTGGCCTGCACACACAGGTCGAACTTGCCTGCATACGTGCCTGGCACCGTTGGCATGGGCGCCGTGCTGAGGAGGGGGAATGGGTTGGTGAGAGGGCGTGGGGGATGAAGGGAGAGATGTCAGCAGGTGCGGGGGGAAAATGACGTGGCCTGCACACACAGGTCGAGCTTTCCTGCACACGTGCCCTGCACCATTAGCATCATGCTGCCAGCCGAGGGGGGGAGGAGGAGAGGGTGATGTGGTGTTGATAGGGTTGGGGGGATGAAGGGAGAGAAGGAAGCAGATGCAGAGGCAGATGGGGTTGGGCTGCACGAACAGGACATACCCTATACCACTCACCAACCCTTTGCACCACTCACCAACCCTTTGCACCACTCACCAACCCATTGCATTACTCACCAACCCTTTGCATCACTCACCATCCCTTTGCACCACTCCCCATCCCTTTGCACCACTCACCATTCCTTTCCACCACTCACCATCCATTTGCACCACTCACCATCCACTTGCACCACTCACCATCCACTTGCACCACTCACCATCCACTTGCACCACTCACAGTCCATTTGCACCACTCACCATCCACTTGCACCACTCACCATCCACTTGCACCACTCACCATCAACTTGCACCACTCACCATCCATTTGCACCGCTCACCATCCACTTGCACCACTCACCATCCACTTGCACCACTCACCATCAACTTGCACCACTCACCATCCATTTGCACCACTCACCATCCACTTGCACCACTCACCATCCACTTGCACCACTCACCATCCACTTGCACCACTCACCATCCATTTGCACCACTCACCATCCCTTGGAGCCTCGCTGCAGCACGAAGCGGAAGTCTCGGCGCTCGCTGGCTGTGCGGCCAGTCCTGGTGGGGGGAGGGGGAAGAGGGGAAGGGGAAATGGGGAAAGGGGTAATGGGGAAAGGGGGAATGGGGAAAGGGGAAGGGGACAGGGAATGGTGTGCGAGTTTTGGGTTGTTGAGGGTGGAGAGGGCTGAGTGAAGAGAAATACAGCCCAAAAGCCATAATGCACATCCGTAAATGTGATCCCACGTTATGTGTGATCCCATAAAACGTGCAATCCCATAAAACGTGCAATCCCATGAAACGTGCAATCCTATGAAACTTACAGAAGGCAGAACAACAGGTTGACTGGCAGCAGCAGCCGTACACTCACCCATCTTCGCAATCGCTTCTTCCCTTCCAACCTCCTCCCCTCCCTCGCCCTTCCCCTCCCAATCCCCCTCCCCCTCCCCGTCCCCTTCCCCCTCCCCTCCCCCCTCCCCCTCTTCTCCCTCCCCTTCCCCCTTCCCCCTCCCCCTCTTCCCCTCACCCCCTCTCACCCGCTTCTGCTTTTTCTCATCCTGCCCCTTCCCCCTCCACTTTACTTATTCCCAACCCTCTCCCCCTTGCCCTCCCCTGTTTCCCTCCACTTCCTGACCTCTCTGCTCCCCCTCCCCCTCACCATGCTCTAACCACGAGCGGCTTACTGTCTGACGTGGCATGAATGGTGAACGTGGACCAATCAAACCGCCACCTCAGCTTAGGCCAGTTGACAGCTGGCAGCTCCGGTATGCAGCCCCACGGATGCGGTGGCTGCTCCTGATTGGTCCGCGCGTCACCTTCTGACCCTCCCACCCCCCCTTCTCCTGTCTGAGCCTCTGCCGTCTCCCTTTCGGCCGTTTCCCTTTCCTCCCGGGCAAACAGCCCCGTGCCCTCTGTTTTGTCGAAGCGCTTGCGGCGGCGGGGAGAAGGGGGGGCGTTGGAGGGGCGCGTCCAGGTGAGGGAGGGGCGGGAGGAGGCGGGGAGCGAGGCGCAGGAGGAGTTGACATGCAGGAGAGAGGCGAGGAAGGAAAGGGTTGCTTGGTTGGCCTGGAGTGTGGTTTGAAGAGGGGGGTTGGAGAGGGGGGTTGGAGAGGGGGGGTGGAGAGGGGGGGTGGAGAGGGGGGGTGGAGAGGGGGGGTGGAGAGGGGGGATGGAGAGGGGGGGTGGAGAGGGGGGGTGGAGAGGGGGGGTGGAGAGGGAGGGTGGAGAGGGGGGGTGGAGAGGGGGGGTGGAGAGGGGGGGTGGAGAGGGGGGCGCTGAGGGTTTCGGGAAAGAGGGCATGGGGGAGTATGGGGGAAGTGTGATGTTGGCAATCAAGCTTGCATACATGAAATCGCACCTACACGTGCTCAGGAGGAGTTGGAGAGGAGGGAAAGGAAGGAAAGGTTGGCTCTCCAGGGGGAAGCGAGAGAGGATGTGCTCACCCAGCGGTTGACGCGGATCTGCATGTGCTCACCCATTGGTTGACGCGGATCTGCATGTGCTCACCCATTGGTTGACGTGGATCTGCATGTGCTCACCCATTGGTTCACGTGGATCTGCATGTGCTCACCCATTGGTTGACGTGGATCTGCATGTGCTCACCCATTGGTTCACGTGGATCTGCATGTGCTCACCCATTGGTTCACGTGGATCTGCATGTGCTCACCCATTGGTTCACGTGGATCTGCATGTGCTCACCCATTGGTTCACGTGGATCTGCATGTGCTCACCCATTGGTTCACGTGGATCTGCATGTGCTCACCCATTGGTTCACGTGGATCTGCATGTGCTCACCCATTGGTTCACGTGGATCTGCATGTGCTCACCCATTGGTTCACGTGGATCTGCATGTGCTCACCCATTGGTTCACGTGGATCTGCATGTGCTCCGAGTTGGCCATTATCTTAAGCAGCTTTGGCTCGGGCATGTCGTTCCACCAGATGTACCTGCCGGGGAGGGATGGAGGAGGTGGGAGAGTGGGGGGAACAAAGGCGGCAGGGGAGAATGGGCAGGTTGGGGAGAATGGCAGGTTGGGGAGAATGGCAGGTTGGGGAGAATGGCAGGTTGGGGAGAATGGCAGGTTGGGGAGAATGGCAGGTTGGGGAGAATGGCAGGTTGGGGAGAATGGCAGGTTGGGGAGAATGGCAGGTTGGGGAGAATGGCAGGTTGGAGAGAATGGCAGGTTGGGGAGAATGGCAGGTTGGGGAGAATGGCAGGTTGGGGAGAATGGCAGGTTGGGGAGAATGACAGGTTGGGGAGAATGCCAGGTTGGGAAGAATGGCAGGTTGGGGAGAATGACAGGTTGGGGAGAATGACAGGTTGGGGAGAATGGCAGGTTGGGGAGAATGATAGGTTGGGGAGAATGGCAGGTTGGGGAGAAAGGCAGGTTGGGGAGAACGGCAGGTTGGGGAGAAGGGCCGGTTGGGGAGAGCAGCTTTGGCTCGGGCATGTCGTTCCGCCAGATGTACCTGCCAGGGCAGGCTAGAGAGAGGGGAGGGGGGAGAGGGGGAAGGGGGAAGAGGGGGGAGTGGGGGAGAGCAGGGCAAAGGAGAATGGGGGGGTAGTGGAGAGCAGCTTTGGCTCGGGCATGTCATTCCACCAGGTGCACATGGCAGGGCAGGGTAGAGTGTGGAGAACCGGAATGTGGCCCCACGCACCACATGAAACCAAGAAAGGAAGGACCCGGGGGTGGGAGAGGAGAAAAGGGCCTGCGAAGGACCAGGGGAAAACGAGTGGTGGATGGACGAGAATGGGCAAATAAAGGGCGGAGGTCACGTGTGCTGCTGTTATCAACTCAAAAGGGGTATGTGATCACCCCACGCACGCATCACCCCACGCACACATCACCCCACGCACGCATCACCCCACGCACGCATCACCCCACGCGCGCATCACCCCACGCGCGCATCACCCCACGCGCGCATCACCCCATGCGCGCATCACCCCACGCGCGCATCACCCCACGCGCGCATCACCTCACGCGCGCATCACCCCACGCGCGCATCACCCCACGCGCGCATCACCCCACGCGCGCATCACCCCACGCGCGCATCACCCCACGCGCGCATCACCCCACGCGCGCATCACCCCACGCGCGCATCGCCCTACTGACACGTGATTGGCCCTAAATCCGAAACCATGAACCCTAATCCCCGCTCATGTGTCATCGGCTCACCATCCCACTCCCGTGCCACCATCCCACTCCCGTGTCACAACCCCAAACCTTAAGGCCCACTCACGTGTCATCCCACTCACGTGCCATTAACCCTAAACCCTGAACCCGAAACCCCACTCACGTGCCACCAACTCTAAATCCTGAACCCTAAGCGCCTCTCACGTGTCATCCCACTCATGTGTCATCCCACTCACGTGTCATCCCACTCACGTGTCATCCAGAGCCAGCACTTCATCGTTGGCGGCACTGACGAGCAGCTTGGGCATGGTGAGGCGCTCCCTGTAGTAGTATGGGTCCGTGTCCTCCTGCAGTCAGCCAGCCAAGGGGTGATGTGGGCAGCAAGGGGTGATGTGGGCAGCAAGGGGTGATGTGGGCAGCAAGGGGTGATGTGGGCAGCAAGGGGTGATGTGGGCAGCAAGGGGTGATGAGCCAGGCAGGAAAGAAGACATGAGTGAGAGGAAACGAAGCATTTGGGCATGGCAAGCACACGTTGAAGTCCAACCATTATATCTCGCACATTCTGCTACCTTGTGCTCACAACTAGCCTTTGGAACTCTGGCCACTGCAGCTAGAAGGTGGCAGCAAAGGTGGTGGTATTTGAAAAACACACGATTTAATAATGCCGTACACCACCTATGCCACCTCTGGTGCCACCTCTGCCACCCTTGGTGCCACCCATGCCACATTTGGAGTCACTTATGCCACCATCGGTGCCACCCATGCCACCTTTAGTACCACAAATACCACCTTTGGTGCCACCCATGCCACCTTTAGAACCACAAATACGACCTTCGGTGCCACCCATGCCACCTTTATTACCACAAATACCACTTCGGTGCCACCCATGCCACCTTTAGAACCACAAATATGACCTTCGGTGCCACCCATGCCACCTTTAGTACCACAAATACCACCTTCGGTGCCACCCATGCCACCTTTAGTACCACAAATACCACCTTCGGTGCCAACCGTGCCACCTTTGGTGCTGCCTATGTCAATTTTGCTGCCACCCATGCCACCTTGGTGCCACCTATGCTTCATCTCTTCCTGGAACGTTGCTGGTGCATGATAAAACTAGAACGAGAATGAATGCATTGAGCAGCATGAGGAGAACAAGTACCAAACCCTAAAGTGTTGTACCCCATATGAGCTACCCCACAACAGCCTACACAGACTATAGTATATGAGTTTGATACACCCCCATAGGCAAAGTGGGGGAGAGCAAGGGGTCACACGACCAGTCAAGCAAAGCAAGGCAAAGCAAGCTTAGGGTGGATCACAACGTCACCACACATTCTGAGCACAAGTTCAATGCCACAAGGCCAGTTCACATGCAAGATTACATATATATAAGGCTAAACAAGCAAGAGCAGGTATATATATATATGTAACAGTACAAGCAAGGTCAAGAAGTGAGCAAGTGAGGCAAGGTAGGCACAAGACCTAACATAGTACAGAGGCGCTGATGATCACAAGGCGCAAGTGCCTTGGTGAAAACATCAGCAGTGTTGGCCTGAGAGGCCACGTAAGCAAGGCGCAACTGACCACGCTGCTGCAGCTCATGAGCAAGGAAGTAGCGAAGAGCGATGTGCTTCGTTCTGTGCTCCAGTCTGTGCTCCCGACACAAGGCCAGCATGGCCTTTTTTTCTACGTACAGCACTGGAGGAGAACGAGGCGGCTCTCCAAGGTCAGTCAGCAGGTAGGTGAGCCAGCGAAGCTCCTGTGCAGCCATGGCCCCAGCGTAGATCTCAGCCTCACAACTGGAGCTGAGAACAGAAGACGAGCGGGGAGACTGCCACGAAACAGAGCCGGAACCAAGGCTGAAGGTGTAACCATGAGACGACCGCTGTGTAGCCTGGTCGTCCGCCCAAGAAGCGTATGCGTGACCAGTGAGGACCACTGGACTACGCCCTCCAAGCACAAGCCCCATGCCCAACGTACTGCACAAGTAGCGGAACACCCTCTTCGCTGCAGCCATGTGCTCTGGTCGGTGTCTCCCAGGAGCAACATAGCGTGCCAAGATGCTAAGAGGGTATGCCAAGTCAGGACGAGTGCAGGTCATCAGGTACATGAGGCAGCCAACAAGCTCTGGGTACGGGCCACTCGGCTCTACGGACTCATCCGAAGGCAGAGCTGAGAGCGAGTGGCGAGTAGACAGAGGAGTGGCCTGAGGCGAGGAGTGCGTGAAGTTGAAGCGCTGAAGGACCTGGTGCACCATGTGTGACTGAGTCAGGGTAATGGTGCGGCGTGCTCTGTCCCGGGTGATCTGCAAGCCGAGGTAGCTGCGCAGTTCACCCAGGTCTGTGCACGTGTGTCTCTTCTGGCGGAGACCGTAGACTGGCCGCAGGAGGCTCCACTGGGTACCTGGAGGAAACGACCCAGTGAAGCCAGGTGGGCGGCGCAGCCAGATCTTCTCGTGCAGGCTACCCTGCAAGAAAGCTGCGCTGAAGTCAAGAGAGTGAAGCTCGTGGTCACGCTGAGGGGCTCTGTGCAGCACCCAAAGAGTGGTCATCTTCGGGGTGGGAGAGAAGGTCTGAAAGTAGTCAACTCCCTGCCGCTGACTGAAGCCACGTGCCACGTAACGCGCCTTGATGACAGGCGGAGAACCCGGCGGCCGCTTCACCCTGAAGATCCACATGCCACTAACGATGTTTGCCCCAGGTGGGGGAACCTCGTCAACGTAGGTGCCTGTGGACTTCTAGGAAGCCATCTCTGCATCCATGGCTGACTGCCACTGAGAGGAGTAGGGACCCTAGATCGCCTCAGCGTACGATCGAGGAGTCGGGATGTCTGGTGCATCCGGGTCTCCCTCAGGGGCAATCAGCGTGGACACGAGATAAGGCAAAGAAGCAGCCAAGCACTGGAACTCCTCCTGCCTGTCCTCAAGGACGTCCGTGCCAAGGGCACACTCACCCCCGACGGACGGAGGACAGATATACTCAGACTCAGCAAAGTCAACGAGCTCAATGACCAAGGCAGACGCAGAAGCGGACTCAAAGGAAGGGTCAGTGATAACAGTAGCAAGGAGACGCATGACAGTAGGACTGAAAGCACGAAGGGAGTCCGACTCCGGGTCAGCAAGAACAGGAAGAGAGGACATAGGAGGCGAAGGCAGAGGGGCACGCAGAGGAGCAGTGGAGGGATGGAGGGACATCCGGTGTGTGCCGGGGACAGGGGGATGACGCTGAAGCGAGCGACGACCACGAGCGCGAGCAGCACGGACAGGCGACGCAGGCTCACGACGCTCAGCAAGACCTCTAGTAGGACCAGTGTAGGGAGAGGGAGCAGGCAGTGGGGAGGCCAGCTGTAACTGTAACTGTGACGGAATTGGCTGTGGACACTCTAAGAGAGGAGGAGGACCAGTGGAAGGCGGGAGACCAAGAACGTGCTCAAGGAGCGGAACAAAGTACGGCCGAGGCCGCGCAGCGACTCCAGAAGCAGCAGGGACAGCACCAGCACCCTCAATGGTAGCACCAGCGCCAGTAGCACCTCCAGCCCCAGTACCCCCAGCAGCTCCAACAGCTCCACGGCCTCCAGTAGTGCTAGCAGCACCACCAGCAGGACCACCTCCAGAAACACTAGCAGGACCCGCAGAGCAAACACCCTCAGCAGCTCCAGCTCCAGGCGGACCACGAGAAGACTCAGTAGCCCCAGCTCAAGCAGTACCCGCAGGCCCAGCAGCTCCAGTACCCCCAGTACGAGCACCTCCGGGACCCATGGGACGAGCACACTCAGGAGCAGAAGAACCTCCAGCGCCAGCAGCACACCTCTAGCGCCGGGCAAACCACTCACGCAGGTCCTGTGGAGAGAGGGCCTCTCGCCGAGACGAAGCACCTAGAGAACCTCCACGCCTAGCACGGCCAGACGCCACACAAGTAGACCCAGCACCCTCAGGCTCCGCACCCCCAGGCTCAGCACCCCCATGCGTAGCACCCCCAGTCGTAGCACGCCCAGGCTCAGCACCCCCAGGCTCAGCACCCCCAAGCTCAGCACCCCTAGTCGTAGCACCCCCACGCTCAGCACCCCCAGTCGTAGTACCCCCAAGCTCAGCACCCCCAGTCGTAGCACCCCCAGGCTTAGCACCTCCAGTCGCAGCACCCCCAGAGTCAGCACCCCCAGCCTCAGCACCCCCAGCAGCACCAGAGTCAACGGCTACCTCAACAGCATCTACCTGGGACACACCTGAGGGGGCAGGACCCTGAGGGGGAAGGGGGTCTACCGGGGGGGGACCTGGGACAAGGAAGAGCGGAGGCGGGGGAAAGGACGGAGTGCGGTAGGGGAACAGACGGTAGTAGGGAACCGACTCGTCAAACGTGACGTCTTGGGAGGACAGAACACGGCGCGAGGTGGAAGCCAAGGAAGATGCAGGGAGTAGCACGAGGGGGAAGCCAAGGAAGATGCAGGGAGTAGCACGAGGGGACAGCTTGTCCGCAGACAAGTCGCGGACAAAAGCCCGAGATCCCCAGACACGGAACGCAGACGCATCGCCAACCTTCCCCGTCCACAGCAAAGCTGGGGAGGTCTCCGGCCTGGAGACCCTGGGCTGAAGGTTGATCTGATGCGCCGCGTACCGAACCGCAAACGGCCACAGAAAATGGGGGGCAGCCGTATGTACCATGGACGTACGGGCGACGTCCATGACCATGCCAATACGACGCTCAGCAATCCCATTTTGTTGTGGAGAGTCCGGAAGCGTGAATGTCTGGCGGATGCCTCGTGCACGACAGTAGGCTCGAAGGAGGCCAGAGGAGAACTCTCCGCCTCTGTCGGAGTGCAGACGCAGAACAGGAAAGTCCGAGCCGAAACTCTTCCTGAGCTGGAGACGAGCTGCGCGGATCCAGTCGATCAACACCTCAGTGACATCACCCTTGCTGCGCAAGGGGAAGACTGTGGTGTAACGCGAGTAGTCGTCAACCACCAGCAGGAAGTAGCGCTCGTGACCCTGTCCACGGATGCGGGCCGGGCCCCACACGTCCATGTGAAGAGTCTGCAGCGGAGCCTCTGTCGGCGGAAACTCAGAAGAGTGAGGTGCAGCGCGCTGCCGCCCCTCGACTCAAGGAATGCAGGTAGGGGCAGGCCCCAGAGGAAGGGGAGGGAGGGACCGGGGGAGACCAGAGACAAGGTAACGGGAGGCCATGCCGCAGAGACGAGGCAAGGAGGGGTGACCAAGGCGGTGGTGCCAAAGGAGAGTCTCGTGGGACAGGAGACGACACGAGCAGGGAGCAGACCCAGGACCAGACCAGGACACCGCAGCAAACACCTGACCCGACGCAGCTACCTGACGAGACGCAGTGACCGGAGGAGAGTTAGTGGTCAGTGTGTACACGCTCGACCCCGCCGACGGGTAAACGTGGCCAAGTGTCGGCTTGTTCGAGCGTCCGTGCAGTGGGTCACTTGCTGTCTCGCAGGAATGAACTGGTGAACCCCCGCATCCTGTAGGTCAGCACCACTCACCAAGTTCGTAGAGAACGAGGGGAGGTAAAGACCACACAGGGTGCCAGAGGTCACGGTAGGACACGGTAGGACAGTGGAGAAGTGGGCAAGGACAGGACCCCCAGAGAGGTCTGCCATAGCGACTGCAACCGGCCGACTAAGCGGTGTGAGTGTGGTGCGGTCGCGAAAGAAGGAGCGGGAAGCCCCCGAGTCAAGTGTGAAGGTGTGGGAGGCCGGAGCCGACGCGGTACCTGAGAGAGCAGACTCACCAGCACCTAAGGAAGCAAGCTTACCGGCACCTAGAGCAGCAGCCTCACCAGCACCTAGAGCAGCATCCTCACCAGCACCTAGAGCAGCAGTCCCAATGCCCGGGTCGGGCGGGAAACACCGGTAACAGTCACCCTCATCACTAATAGTCACAAGATACATGGCAGCAAGAATAGCATCATAATCAAGATCAAAGATAGGGACCCCAGCCCTAGACAGCTCTCCCCAGCGAGGGATCTCAGTGGCCTCAGGGAACTGGTGACACCAAGCGTCCGTCAGGCGGCCAAAGCAGCGCTGGGGGGGGTGCGCACCCCCACACGGCTCACCCGCGCGGTCGCTGGTGCGGAGGACGTAGGTGCACAGACCAGTACCCCCACCCCGCTGACGTGCAGCGTACCACTCACGAAGCTGCTGAGGGGGAGGGATCTGACGAGTGCGCTGCTACTGCTGCTGCTGGCGCTGACCACCACGGGAGCCGACCCTCTACGCAGCACCACCCCGACCAGCTCCACCTCCTCCGCCGCTACCTCCTCCACCGCTGCCACCTCCGCCACCACCGCTCCCACTGCCACCGCCGCCGCCGCCTCCGCCTCCACTGCCGCCAGTGACTCCCCCACCCCCGCCACCACCCCCACCGCCACCCCCACCCTCTCCACCGCCTCCACCGCCGCCTCCACCGCCACCTCCACCGCCCCCGCTAGCTCCTCCAGCGCCCCTGCCCCCCTTGCCCTTGCCAGTGCGGCGTCTCCCGCTAAGGGCAGACGCCGCACCGACCGACTCAAGACCAACAAGGTCGGCCGCAGCAGCAGAGGCAATAGAGGGCAAGAGGGGAGAGGGGGAGCACCCCTCAAAGACAAGGGCAGGAGGGTCACCTCGAGAGGCTCCTACAGCGTTGATGCTCTTCTCCGTCGCTAGGAGGCGCTCCTCGAGGAGGGCAACGGTGAGGGTGGTGGGGCAAACTGAGAGGAAGTGGTCCCTAACTGGGCGAAGGGTGTCAGGGAGTCGGGTGACTATGTAGTAGAGGGTGATGTACATAGGGAGGGGGGGGGGGGGGGGTTCTTGGCGCAGAACTCAGCAAGAAGGGCAGCACGGTAACGAGTGTCACGAGTGCGCAGGTGCGTAATGAGGTCAGCGACTGTGGGAAAAGCGGCGAGGTCAGGGAAGAAGTACGGCATGATGAGGCGGCTAAGTGAGATCAAAGAGAGAGAGACCGTCCGTCCTATCGCACTATAGGAAAAGCTGCAGGTCGTCTACCCAGACGTCAAAGTCAATGGCCCGACCCTCAGCGTCAAAAGCGAGCACACTGGGGGTAGCCATTGACAGTGGTAGACTAGCAGCGCGAGCAGCAGGCTAAGGGCAGTGCAGTGGTGGAGGCGCTGCTCTTACCAGGCAGGTGAGAAGGCCCAAGGTTTCCACTGCGGGGAGAGGGTCGCGACAGCAGCGGCGGCTCAGCGACAGCGGCAACTCCGCAGCGGCTCAGTGGCACAGCGGCTCGGCGGCTCGGCAGCTCGGCAGCTCGGCGGCTTGGCGGCTCAGCGGCTCGGCGGCTTGGAGGCTCGGCGGCTCGGCGGCTCGGCGGCAATGGCAGCTCGGCGGCATCGGCGGCTCGGCGGCTCGGCCGCTCGGCCGCTCGGTGGTGAAGGGCGGCAGGGCCGTGAAGGGCGGCGGGGCCGTGAAGGGCGGCAGGGCCGCTGAAGGGCGGCGGGGCCGTGAAGGGCGGCAGGGCCGCTGAAGGGACGGCGACGGGGCCGGGTGGGGCGGCGACAAGGCCGCTGAGGGTGGCGACAGGGCCGCAAAGGGCGGCGCTGGGGTCGCACGGGTGTGGCGACGGGGCCGCGAAGGGCGGCTGTGGGGTCGCGGGTGGCTGCGACGGAGCCGCGAGGGGTAGGGCGACGGGGCCAGCAGGGGCGGCACCGGGGCCGGTAAGCGCGGCGCCGGGGCCGCGAGGGTGGGGCGACGAAGCCGCGAGGGTGTCGCGACGGGGCCGCAAGGGCGGCGCGACAGGGCCGCGAGGGCGGCGCGACGGGGTCGGGATGGCGGCTCGACAGGGTCACGAGGGCGACGCGACGGGGTCGCGAGGGCGGCGCGAAGGGGTCGCGAGGGCGGCGCGACGGGGCCGTAAGGGCGGCTCGACGGGGCCACTAAGGGCCGAGAGAAGGGAGCGCGACTCGGGCAGGAGCGGAGTGCGCTTCGGGCAGGAAAAAAATACGGTGGGCCCTAGGAACGGTTCCCACGAGGGAACCTGCTCAATACCATGATAAAACAAGAACAAGAATGAATGCATTGAGCAGCATGAGGAGTACTAGTACCAAACCCTAAAGTGTTGTACCCCATATGAGCTACCCCACTACAGCCCACACAGACTATTGTATATGAGTTTGACAGTGCATTGCACAGTTTCAAAGTCATTACTAAGTATTTGTAGGCGTCGTATCTGGTACGGAACGCGTCTTGTGGATCGAGTTGTCTGCCATCTTGATCTGCTAGTAACTCGACTGTAGGTCCAGCTCAAAAAACACTGTCGCACCACGCAGTTGGTCTTGAAGATCGTCTATGCGCAGTATGGGGTATTTGCTTTTTACTGCCAGTTTCTTCTGTGCCCAATAGTTGATGCACATCCGTAAATTATACTCCGGCTTTGGAGTGAAGAGAACTGGTGCGTCGTAGGGAGAGGTGGAAGGAGGATCAGTTTTCTGTCCAGTATATATTCTATCTGTTTCTTCATGTCTATCATCTCGGTCGGACTAAGGCGGTATGGTGCACAGAAGACGGGTTTCGCACCTGGTTCCTCCATGATGTCATATTAGTGGGTTCAAGATGGAGGCACTCCTTCATGTAGGTAACCCGGCATGATGTCTTTGTACTCCATTAACTCCTCCTGTACTTCTTCAACAGACCGTTAGTTACGAGCTGGTCGACGAAGCGTTTATGGCGACGCTATAGTCGACGTAGAGCCGACTTTGTATAGGGCTCCGATTTCGAGGGTAACAACTGACTCCACGTCTTGGTTGGCGTAGATAACCATGCCGGCACAGTATTATACACCACAAATAGGCCTTTGAATCCCTCATTGACCCGTAGGCCGTGCACTCTTGTAAAGGCGGCGTTTACCCTTAGTCGTCGTCGGCTTTGTTGCGTGTCGACCCTTCACGTGCCCCTTATGCACATTTATGCATGCAGGTACATCTGGGTTTGCACAACGTCGGACAAGATGCAATTGTGGTCGATAGGAGTCGGTCGGCTACGCGCGGCGATGGGTCGGACCGACCACCAATGCTTTGCGTCGTTCTTCAGCGCCCACGTAGCCGGTTTCCCCCTTACATCGAGGTGAGCTGGTCCGATTTAGTTTGTCATATTTTTGCAACCTATGTCGAGCCTCGATTCTGAACGACATTGGCGTGCATTGCCTGTGCAGCATCGAACCGCATCGGGGATCCCATTGCAGCTTCGTCCTCATCCTGTACCCCGACGATTTGTTGAAGGCCGAGGGGAAGGAGATCAGGACCTCGATCCTGTGGAGATTCACTCTACAAGGTAGTGAGCTAGACCACGGGGGGAGTTGGCACGAACTACTAGGAGTGATAGTAGCTTTGCTTAGTTCCTTAGCGCTTGCGAATTCACGTGAGAAATCGGCAAGAGTTTCACTAGGCAAAGATTGCATTACAGAATGATAGCAATGACAATGACACAATTGACTACATCAGGTGCCTAGCAACTATGCAGCTAGCCTGGTCGACCGCCAGCACTACATGGTCGACCGCCTACCAGCGTTGCGTAGAGGAGCCGCGCCAGCACTACAGGAGCCTCTCTGCTTCGTGCCATCATTGCCGCTGACCCGTGCACTGCCGTCGACCTCGTCGTCGACGCCACCTTCATTTCGTACCGGTCGAGGAGAAGCAGGACGGGAAGGGTGCTCCATCGCCCACTGCGCCCGGATGCCCAAGTCAGCGATCGCCCAGGGGATCAACCCGTACTCGCCATCCTCATGGCGTTTCCTCGCATCAGCCAAACGTGCCTCCAAGGTGTCCACTACGCCCGCATTAGCTACGGGGTCGACCATGGCGACTAACGTTGCTGCCGGCCTACGAACGACTTAGAAGGTGCAAAAGTCGGCTCCTAACTGAAGGTAATTCGTGTGTTCGATCCACGCTCACCGCACCACAGGCCGGTCTCGCCGACGGCGCACAACTCTGCTTCCAGGTGTCGCGCAGCGTAGCTTTGCTGGAGACAGGCATCCTTGGAAGTCTTCGAGTTCCGCGCTGTGATCACCATGACGGCCGGCTGGTTCTCCGGGTTCACCGACGAGGTGTTCGCAGTCAGTAGAAGAAGATGTCGGGGAGCGTGATCTCGCGGATGCTAGCACCGCGCAGGAGAGTGTGGTCGGAGAGTAGCGTAGCACCCTGATGAGGAGAAATCTCCACATCGTCTGCGAAGGAGTGGTTGCCCACGGGTTCCACGCCGACGTCGCCCATGTCGGCAACACCTTCATCATGATCAGGCGGAACTGTTCGGTGGTGTAGGTATCGCCGATGGTGCCGCAACGCCGGTCGGCGCAATTCCTGCCCACATAGCCACCTGGTAATGTTATTTTGACGGCGTCGACTTCAGAGTGTTAAGGAATGAGGTTGGCGGTGTCGACCAACTTACTTGAGGTCCCTCTCGTCCTCGGTGCGGACCATGAACCGCACCTCCGATCTGACCACCGAGATCTCCCGCATGATGCCCAGCTCCTTCTCCCGGTAGAGCGTCGCCTCCACCCTCGACGCCATCTGGCATGCTTTTATGCGCCCGAGGAGCGTGTGCACCGTGGTAGCTTGCACAGGCTGAGTTCGCGTGGCATTGTTCCCCTCCTCGAACGACTCGGCATCGAGCTTACACTCACGGCACATGTACTTCACGTAGGCGCGCAGCCGGGTTTCAGTGACCTGAGGGCCGTGCAGCCAGATGTCCTCGTGCCTCCTTGTCCCAATCCTTCTTCTTGTTGTCACGGATGTAGTGGCTGATCTTGTCGACGTGTCTCAGTCTGTGCTCCTGGGGGAAGCTTGTCGCGTATTTGCTTCAGCATCTTCGCTGCCCACCTCTTGTGATCCACGAGGTGTACAACCTAAGCGTGCTCCTTTTCTCCAAGGTTTGTAGGTGGCGTAGGGCGTCCATGATGAGCACGTCGATGCACGCGTAAACCATGTCGTCCTCGACGAAGTCAGCCGCCCTCCACTGTTCGCGTGGCACCGCCATGTTCTGCTCGTCCTCCTCCTCGTCCAGTTCGAGCATGTCATGCCTAATGATTAAGGCAACACTACAACCCCTCCCTCGTAAAATTCCAGACCATTCGGGGGATGTGAAGAATGAGGAATGATAGACTAAGGAATGTGAAGGGTACAAGTATGAAACCCTAGGAAACCATACCCCTTAGTATCTACCCCACTACAGCCACTATAGCATATAATTTTGACACACCCCCATAGGCAAAGTGGGGGAGAACAAGGGCTCACAAGACCAGTCAAGCAAAGCAAAGCAAGCTCAGGGTGGATCACAACCTCACCACACATTCCAAGCACAGGTTCAAGGCCACAAGACCAGTTCACATGCAGGGTTATATATATAAAGGTAAACAAGCAAGTGCAGGTATAGAAAGATCACAGTACAAGCAAGGTTAAGAAGTGAGCAAGTGAGGCCAAGTAGGCACAAGACCTAGCATCGTACAAAAGCGCTGATGATCACAAGGCTGAAGTGCCTTGGTAAAGATATCAGCAGTGTTGGCCTGAGAGGCCACGTAAGCAAGGCGCAGCTGACCACGCTGCTGCAGCTCACGAGCAAGGAAGTAGCGAAGAGCAATGTGCTTCGTTCTGTGCTCCAGTCTGTGCTCCCGACACAAGGCCAGCAAGGCCTTGTTGTCTACGTACAGAACTGGAGGAGAATGAGGCGGCTCTCAAAGGTCTGTCAGCAGGTAGGTGAGCCAGCATAACTCGTGTGCAGCCATGGCCCCTGCATAGATCTCGGCCTCAAAGCTGGAGCCGAGAACAGAAGACGAGCGGGTAGACCGCCACGAAACAGAGCCGGAACCAAGGCTGAAGGTGTAACCCTGTGACGACCGCTGTGTAGCCAAGTCGTCAGCCCAAGAAACGTCTGCGTGACCGGTGAGGACCACTGAACTCCGCCCTCCAAGCACTAGCCCCATGCCCGACGTACTGCACAAGTAGCGCAACACCCTCTTCGCAGCAGCCATGTGCTCTGGTCGGTGTCTCCCAGGAGCAACATAGCGTGCCAAGATGCTAAGAGGGTATGCTAGGGCAGGACGAGTGCAGGTCATCAGGTACATGAGGCAGCCAACAAGCTCTGTGTATGGGCCACTCGGCTCTACGGACTCATCCGAAGGCAGAGCTGAGAGCGAGTGGCGAGTAGACAGAGGAGTGGCTTGAGGCGAGGAGTACTTGAAGTCGAAGCGCTAAAGGACCTGCTGCACCATGTGTGACAGAGTCAGGGTAATGGTGCGCCGTGCTCTGTCCCGGGTGATCTGCAAGCCAAGGTAGCTGCGCAGTTCACCCAGGTCTGTGCACATGTGTCTCTTCTACAGCTCCGACTTCACGTGGGCGAGTCCAGCAGTGTCTGCAGTAGCAAAGACCAAGTCGTCGACGTACACGAGGATGTAGAACGGCGGCAGCGAGGTGTCGGTGCGTAGAAACAGCGACAGGTTAGCAAAAGAAGGAGCAAACCCAAGAGCCGCAAGTGTAGTCCTCAGTGTGTCGTGCCACTCGCGGGGAGCCGGGCGGAGACCGTAGACTGGCAAAGCACTGGAACTCCTCCTGCCTATCCTCAAGGACGTCCGTGCCAAGAGCACACTCACCCCCGACGGACGGAGGACAGACAGACTCAGACTCAACAACAAGACTTGCGGCGTAGTGTAGACGACAGTAAGCAGCGAAGTCGACAAGCTCAGCAACTAAGGCAAACGCAGCAGTGGACTCAAAGGAAGGGTCAGTGACAACAGTAGCCAGGAGACACGTGACAGTAGGACTGGCAGCACGAAGGGAGTCAGAGTCCGAGTCAGCAAGAGCAGGAAGAGAGGACTCAGGAGGAGACGGCAAAGGGACGCGCTGTGGAGCAGTGGAAGGATGCAGTGCCATCTGGTGCGTGGAGAACGCTGGCGTGGAACACGACGACTAGTGCGACCACCACAAACAGGCGACGCAGGACAAGAATCAGGCTCACGACGCTCAGCAAGCCCTCCAGTAGGACCAGTGTAGGGAGGTGGAGCAGGGAGTGGGGAGGCGAGCTGTAACTGTGACCCGGACTGGACAGGCGGTGGACACTCTAAGGAAGGAGCAGGACCAGTAGAAGGCAGGAGACCAAGAGCCTTCTCAAGGAGCGGAACGAAGTACGGCCGCGGCCACGCAGCGCCTTCAGAACCAGCAGGGACAGCACCAACACCCCCAGCGTCAGCACCAACGCCAGCAGCACCACCAGCTCCAGCAGCACCTCAAGTAGCTCTAGCAGCGCCAACTCCAGCACCCCAAGAAGCACCAGCTCTAGTAGCACCTCCAGCAGCACCTACGCCAGCAGCACCTCCAGCTCCAGCTGCACCCCCAGTAGCTCCGGCAGCGCCAACTCCAGCACCCCCAGAAGCACCAGCTCTAGCAGCACCTCCAGCGCCAACACCTCCAGCAGCTCCAGCTCCAGCAGGACCACCGGAAGACGCAGCAGCATCAGCTCCAGTAGCACCTCCAGCAGCACCACCAGCTCCAGCACCAGTAGCACCACCAGGCCCAGCAGCTCCACTACCGCCGGTACGAGCACCTCCGGGACCCGTGGCTCCAGAACCTCCAGCAGCCGCAGAACCTCCAACACCGGTAGCACCACTAGCTCCAGCAGCACGGCTCCAGCGACGAGCAAACTACTCACTCAGCTCCTGGGGAGAAGGTAGCTCCCGCCGGGACGAAGCACCCGAAGGACCTCCAGGCCCAGCACCACCAGTCTCCACTCGAGCAGGCCCAGCACCCCTAGGCTCTGCACCCCCAGACTCAGCAACCCCAGGCTCAGCACCGCGAGACTCTGCACCCCCAGGCTCAGCACCCCCAGACCCAGCACCCCTAGGCTCCACACGCTCAGGCTCAGCACCCCCAGACCCGGCACCCGCAGGCTCAGCACCCCTAGCAGCACCAGAGTCAACAGCTACCTCGACAGGCTCGACGGCGTCTACCTGGGACACACCTAAGGGGGCAGAACCCTGAGGGGGGAGGGGGTCTACCGCGGGGGGACCTGGCGCGAGAAAGAGCGGCGGGGGAGGGAGGGGGGCAGCGCGGTAGGGGAAGAGACGGTAGTACGGAACGGACTCGTCAAACGTGACGTCCTGGGAGGACAGAACACAGCGCGAGGTGGGGTGGTAAAACTGCCAACCAGGCGCGTCAGGGGGGAAGCAAAGGAAGACGCAGGGAACAGCACGAGAGGACAACTTGTCCGAAGACAAGTCTCGAACGAAAGCCCGAGATCCCCAGACACGGAACGCAGACGCATCGCCAACCTTCCCCGACCACCGCAGGGTGGGGGAGGTCTCCGGCACAGAGACCCGGGGCTGAAGGTTGATCTGCTGCGCCGCGTACTGAACCGCGAATGGCCACAGAAAATGGGGAGCAGCCGCATGGATCATGGACGTACGGGCGACGTCCATGACCATGCCAATGCGGCGCTCAGCAATCCCATTTTGCTGTGGAGAGGCCGGAAGCGTGAACGTCTGGCGGATGCCCCTCGCACGGCAGAAGGCTCGCAGAAGGTCCGAGGAAAACTCTCCACCTCTGTCGGAGTACAGACGCAGAACAGAGAAATCCGAGCCGAAACTCTCTCGGAGCTGGAGACGAGCAGCGCGGATCCGGTCGATCAACACCCCATTGACCTCACCCTTGGTGCGCAAGAGGAAGACTGTGGTGTAACGCGAGTAGTCGTCAACCACGAAGAGGAAGTAACGCTCGTGACCTTGTCCACAGACGCGGGCAGGGCCCCACACGTCCATGTGAAGAGTCTGCAGCGGAGCCTCTGTCGGCGGAAACTCGGAGGAGTGAGGAGCGGCGCGCTGCCGCCCCTCGATGCAGGGAACGCAGGTAGGGGCAGGCCCCGGAGGAAGGGGAGGGAGGGACCGGGGGAGACCAGAGACAAGGTAACGGGACGCCATGCCTCGGAGACGAGGCAGGGAGGGGTGACCAAGGCGGTGGTGCCAGAGGAGAGTCTGGTGAGACAGGAGGCGACACGAGCAGGGGGCAGACTCAGGACCAGACCTGGACGCTGCAGCAAACTCTTGACCAGACGCAGCTACCTGACCAGACGCAGTAACCGGAGGAGACTCGGTAGTCAGTGTGTACAGGCTCGACCCCGGCTGACGGGTAAACGTGGCCAAGTGTCGGCCAGTCCGAGCACACGTGCAGTGGGTCAGCCGCTGACTCACAGGAGTGAGCTGGTCAACCCCCCCCCCCCCATCTTGCAGGTCAGCACCACTCACCAAGTTTTTAGAGAACGAGGAGAGGTAGAGACCTGACAGGGAGCCAGACGGGGCCGCTGGACACGGTAGCACAGTGGAGTAGTGGGCAAGGACAGGACCCCCAGAGGGGTCTGCCAGGGAGACTGCAACCGGCCGACTGAGCGGCGTGAGGGTGGTGCGGTCTCGAAAGAAGGAGCGGGAAGCACCCGAGTCAAGGGTGAAGGTGTGCAAGACCGCAGCAGGCACAGCACCAGAGAGAGCAGACTCACTAGCACCTGGAGCAGTAGACGCACGAGCACCTAGGGCAGCAGCCTCACCGGCACCTGGAGTAGGGGACGCAACAGCACCTAGAGCAGCAACCTCACCAGCACCTAGAGCAGCACTGTGGATACTGGGGTCAGGCGGCACACACAGGTGACAGGC